TAGTCCTCCAAACAGGCCACTGGTGAAGAGGTCTAATCTACTCCTGAAATGTTTATGCCATTGAGCTCCAGCCTTCAGTGTAAGCATTACCTAAAATATACAACATTTTATGATTGTATGAAATTATTTGCCATTAAATCAATCAAATCGTTACAGTGTTATTTTACACATGAGATGGACTATAAATCAAATGTGATTTATATTTGTATAAAGGCATATCTGAAGTACCCCTGATTTTCCTTTTACAGTGTAATAAACGCTTGGGTAATGAAGAACTAATAAAGAGAATCTTAAAGCAGCCATTTGATTTGTTTTAATAATTGACAATAGCAACATGATAGATCTAAGCATAAATAACACAACTTACAATGACACTGTATCACCAAATTCCATAAATCAATGCCTAATATGCTCATTTAAAGAATGCCTCATATGAAAGTATGAACCTTGATAACAAATATGTAAATTTTAGATATACATATATAAAGAGCTAGATGAGGGAAAACCCCAGAGATATTAAGATGGCAGACATAGTAACGTCTCTTGCGTTACCTTCGTTTGTCAGAATTTTCACTGGTTAGTTTACGAAGACAGACAACCCTTTGAACCCTGCTCTTTATGAAAAGCAGAATAAAACCAACAACAGTGACATCTTTAAAACATTCATTAATTTGATTTTCCAGTTTATGGTTCATTGCAGCTTTCCATCCCTGCTGTATCATTTGAAGGCTTGTCGGACTTTGTCACTTACAGTTGTCCAAAGGGGTGAGACTTTCACATAGTACTTCGTCATGCAAGTAGAAACGTTTGTAATGCATATAATGGGTGATCAGAATTTTGACTATATTTGACCAGCTATTAAAACTCCAATTCAGGTTGAGACTTTCACGCAGTGCTTCAGGGGGAGGGTCTTGTGTAAACGTCTAAATGGTACATAAGATATGATGGTTACTGTCCAGAAATACTGTCCTAAATTTTTATTTTTATCCGTTTTATCCATTCAGGATATGATTATCTAAAGACCAATTGATGGAAATGGGACTTTTAAGACCACCTATTGAACCTATGAACATTGTCTGTTCAACCACCACTAAGAGAACCCCTTTGCAACATCCTGTTACCCCCCCCCCCTCTCTACCCCTTATCTTCCATGTCCTGAATCTTTTTTTCGAAAGGGCTTCATACTGGGAAGTCTGGCAACAAAAATTTCTTCCCAATTTTCATTTGACTAGCAGGGAAAAATTTGGAAATATTTTAATACCGGCAGTACTGTATTGTTCATCTCAAGACCAAGTATTTAGTCAGGAGACGACACATACTCCTACAGCACTGGGATAGACACTGTGAGTGTCATGGAAGTATGTGATGGTTGGAGACTCCAGAAGAGTTTCCCATAGATGGCCATTATAACATTTTACCCTGTATCTTATTAACGACTAGTATCCAAGCCTAGTGCAACATACCACAGAGTTCGGGAGAGACTCGCCTAGCCTGCGATAACAATCTTACCATGGGTTGTCCACTGAATTTTTGAGATAAATAAACTTGAAGACACTAACCCCCTCTATCATCAGATTTCTAAGAGAATTCTGGTAAAATCACCAAGGTCAAAATCACTCTGCCGCGAGCTTAAAATGAGATTTCCCACTGAACTTTGACATGTTTTCAGATAAATCACATGACTGCAAGGACATAATGTCAAAGAATTGCCAAGGAATGCTGAAAGTCAATGCATCTTGGTCTTAATACAATATTAATTACAATTTTAGTAACATACTAGCAGTACTTACAGATAATATTAATGAGATGACAAAATAGAAGAGGAATCCGTAAAGACCCGTCAGACCTAGAATCCCAGCTGCGCCCCCAGCCAGAGCTGATGTAGATGTACGGCAATATTCTAAGACAGCACCATTGACCTGAATCGCCATTTGATTCAGGAATACTTGATCTAAAATGAAAAAGCTATAAATGTTTGAGATGTATAAAAAACACATGACTGCAGGGATGAAATAAAACATTGTTCAGAAATAAAAAAAATTAACATGCAAACCATCTGAAATCAAATTCAAAATGATTTCATGGCAACAGATGTCAAGAGACCTTTAGAATGCATTTATTTTAACTTGAATGTGTAAATGAATCTCTAGAATCAACATGTAATTTTAACTGTCAATTTTGCATGCTTCTGTCAGGCATTCTCTGCCAGGTGTGTTTATTGTGGTTTGAATTTTATGATAAGTGCTCAGTGGTTAAATGTTCATATATGCGAAGTATTGAATAACCTGATTGGTTTAAACTTACAATCACGTATGCATATGTGTGCCATGTATTTTCTAGCTCATTTTTCACTCTATGGAAATTTGTGTTTTACATGGATTCACATGGAACAAAAAAATCGAAAAGCAATTGACAGAAGCGTGAAAAATAACATGGTAAAATTACATCCGAGATTTTTGTGATTTTTTTTACTTTACACTCTTTTTATGGCTGATTTACCAAGTGCAGCTCTTAATTTTTTATATTTGCGCAACACTACAGTCTGTTTAATTTACTCCATAATCAATAGTTGAACCTAAAAAATAAGAAAGCTAAAGACCATTGCGCAATGATATATGGAAAAACATATTCATATTGCACATGAATGAGATTAGTATATTTCAAATTATTTAGTTTTTATTGCAATAAGCCTGTGTCAACTTATAATTTGAGGTCTATCAGCCATCCCATGTTAATTTTTAATAAGTTTTTTGGAATTAACATGGCAGAAAAGCACCAAAATATAAGAGGCTACAGACTTCAAAGCCAATTTAGAAGCAATCCAAGATGTACAAATGTCATTCATGTACAGTATGAATATGTTTTTTCCATATATTATTGCACATGCAGTGATGATGATAGAAATTTTAAAGTATGGGACACAGATCAAAAAAATGTCCCACTCCAACTAAAAATGTGGGTCATTTCAATTTTTTTGGGGATATTTTTTCCGTTGCAATTTAATAAAAATTTATAACTTTGTCTTGCTCCTGCTTCTGAAACAAGCAATAAAGTAAAATTATATTTAAAAACAAATGGCCAGGGGTTCCCCTGTATTTTATCATTTTTCATTCAGGGGTTTCACTTGATCTCACGGGGTACGGCAGTAAAAAATAAAGTCTTAAACCCCCTAAAATTAGCCAGAGGTTCTCTGTATTTTACACTTACTCGCCGGTGGTTCGGCATTTAAAAAATGAAGTTCCAAATCAAACAAATTCGGGTACAGTCAAAACAGAAATATTTGTAACTACTTTGAATTTAAAAAATAAGCAATCAAATGACCATATTGAAACAGTTTATGTAAAAATAGAAACATTTATATTTATCCTAATTTTTGTATATTTCAAGCTGTGGCCTTTTATTATTCGTCTTTCTGGTGTGGAATATATATGCTTTCAATCAATTGAACATATCTGCATTAAATGCTATTGTGTATGTACGTTTAATACGTGGTAATATGCAATAAAATCGGGATAAAATTGAAATTCGAATATATTTTTTTGATTCATCGATGGTTGTTTTGATACATGAAAACTACGAACGATTTAGAGTGTTGATGTTCGTATTTTTGTAGAGAATCTATTGTATCATCAATCACTGGTAATTTCTAAATAAATCATAACAAATTTATTGCTATGAAATAAATATACAATATCCCTGTTACAGTGTAAAGTTAGTTCTTGGGCATTTAGTGCAAATAGTATAAACCGTTCGCATTTATTTACAAATAAGACAACCGTTCGTACTTCTTATGCATAGCGGCCATGTCAATCATAAAGACAAAGGCCAACCCTCCTTACCATATACGGACCTGGAAATCACGTGATGACATAACCTATGAGTGATTCGTCATAACAAATTGACCCGGGGATGTGCGCAACTGATTTGCGAAGCTAGATTCGCGTGTTAACTACAAGCACGAGATAACAAACTGACGAAAGTAATTTGGTAAAAATATTGCTTAAATCTAAGTGTTGGGCCTCATTACTGGAATTGAACTGACAGGTATCAAGAATAGGATTCAATCTCGACTACAAGGCAACATGTTTTGACTGCGTCATGATTTTACAGATTGGACGCACTGAGGTAATGAATCTGCGTCTTCCCTGTTAATATTGCGCCAAAGACGCAAAGACGCGAGCTATCAACATCACTGCACATGGTCTTAACATTTCTAATTTTTTACTGTAATCCCTTCAAAATGGATTCTGAATCTTGGCTACATTTGTTTCAGAAGGTGGAAGTTGGATTTTCATTGAATATGTGAAATCCCTTGGAAAGAATAAAGCACTACATGTTTTAATAAAACCATAGAACATTATAATAACTCTTGTGGTTAGAACACATGCTTTGAACCCATGGCAATAAATTAGGAAAAGAGAAGTGGGCGATAATATGTTGGAATAGAGACATTGTCATTTTAAAATGCTGATGTTTCCATAGTTCTATGATCAAAGTGAGAAATGAGCCATTAAACAATAAATCATAACACAATTTGTATTCTAGCTTTGTTATCTTATCTTTTAGGGACGTATCGTGGAGTAAATCCTACCTTTTCGAGCCTTTTTATTTTTTACGAGAATCGACATTTTTATTTTTTCATGAGTACCACCATTGCTTCTATTTGAATTGAATATATTTGCAATATTCTGCCCAACGAATCATTTATTTATACTAGTTTAAGCCAAACTTTGAATAACTTTTAATTTTTAGAATTAATAGATATTGTTATTATTATTTTTCAGGTGTTAACTTTGCTGCATGTCGAGAACCGATTCGTGTCATGAAATTGAAAAGTGGGCGTGACCTCGAAAAATTGGAATTTATACGGTCAATATCAAGGCTGTTTACGAAGATAGTTGACCATGTCATTAGATAAAAATGCTAAATATCACGAGTTAAGACCTTGATTCACATTTTGCCGTATTATTTATCAAAATCAATTCAGCCAATTGCTTACAATGGGGACTCAAACTTCAGAGAGTTTTGTACAACGGACTTTGAAAAACACAATAGCTGGTACAGCCGGAGGTATAGCAGTCTGTCTAGTAGGCCATCCATTTGACACTTTAAAAGTTAGACTTCAGACCCAACCGGTAGTTAACCCTGTATACAAAGGACTGACTGATTGTTTTCTTAAGACACTAAAATGGGAGGGCGTTGGAGGCTTGTACAAGGGTGTTGGTAAGGAAAATATAACTAAATTCACAACACGATGAACAATTACTTAAGAAGCTTCGATCTGTATGATCAGGAGGGTGACCTTTATACTCTATATACAACTTATTAATAACATATGGCTTTGTCCCAGATCCTATCTATTTTATTGAAATTCCAGTGTTTTGTTTTCAGGATCACCTATAGTTGGTCAGATGTTTTTCAGGGCTACACTTTTCACATCCTATTTTCAGGTATAACCTATGTACAGCGAGCCAAAAATGTGACTCAAGCAAATGTCATTCAGCATGTCTTTAAAGTCATTCATTAGCTTTTTCTCAATAGCCACAATGTTATGCCCACTTTAAACGTGTTCCAAATGTCGGCCCCTGCTGTCGGCCGCCCTTTGATTCATGGAAACTCATTGACTATGGAGGCAAACTCGAACGTGTCAGGCAAAGTCAGTTCACTACGCGCTCACCTGCTCACAGACATCTAATGTTACTGTTATAACTATCGACCCTGCACTAACTGTTGCATCTTTAAACTCCCTATTGTCTTTGAGACATGCTGAATGACTAAGTTATTAACAATTGTCTGAGTTACCTTTTTGACATACCCTGTATCAAGTGACCGGTATTTGTAATTACGTATTGAGTAATCTAGTTAACCGAAAAGGATACAAAACGTTCATTTAGTAATTATTGAACATTCATCGATTTCAATGAAATGATTGTTTTTATATTTTCAAGATTTCTACGCTAGTTGCGGGTAGTGACAGAGTGGGACAACGACTTGAGATGCATGAATATTTCATATGTGGTGCCTTTACTGGTTCAATAGCTGCCCTAATAGAAGCCCCGATTGATTTGGTAACATCTTATTTTGTGATCATAGTTGTAGAAAGAAAAAAGTTTATATCAACTGTCAAAGAAGCCCAATGTTGGTCAATAAACGTCATCAAAAATTCTAATGACATGAGTTTTATCTATGGATTTATCCATCTGTACATATACCTGAAAAACAAGACTTTTCCCTGGGGAGGGGATCTGCTGCTTTTCGTGTAACACCGTATGCTTTAAAATACTACAAATTAATAAAATGTTGTCACGGTGATTATTGTAAGCTTTATAAATCATATAACACAAAATACAAGGTACTATGTTTTTAAGAACTGGGCTATTAAGACGTTTGTTATTTTCAAAATAATATACATATTTCCAGTTTAAATCAAAGATGCAAGTGCAAATAATAAATGCCAAAGCCCACGGGACAAAACCCAAGTACTCCAATGTATTTCAATGTGGCTATGACATCACAAGGCAATATGGCATACGAGGGGCGTACCAAGGTCTAGCCGGGGTCTGGCTGAGAAACATTCCTGCTAACTGCTTTTTCTTTGGTGAGTACATGTACATGAATGTGAATTCACACATAGCTAGACAAGGTGTGTCCGATTTCAGTCAATATTTTGCAATGTGTGAAAAGAATTTAAGCCCAAGACTCAATGCATTGTGTAATTACCATTCCTTTCAGACGTTGTTTCCTAAAATGAGTACTCGATGCTCCGCATCTAGTGTAAATTTTGGAGAGCAACATCTTCAATGAATGGTCATTCCACATTGCACTGAGTCCAGGGCTTAAATCTTTAAACAACGATTTATTATGTCACCACCAGCAGTGTTGTGGAGGGTGTTCGGTGGTTGGTGCATGTTCATACATTGTCCACTCTTGCACCAAGCCCATATATAACCCCTTCAACCTTAAACTCGCTACATACCTTTTAACCTTACCATAAGGCCGGGCCATAAGGTCGAATGGCTGGAAGAAATTCCTACTGTATCCTACTGTATCTGGGACTTTTTTGCTGATTATATTGTAATAACTTTTGAACAATCTTATTTGTATCTCTGATCGTCTTATCAAGACAGAAAAGAATATTTAATTAGTACTTGCCTCTATTCACGCGACATGTCAATATGACAATAATTAATTTAATTTAATTTGTTCTAATGAGAAAACACAAAGGGCAACACAAGACAGCAACTATGAAGAAGAAGATATAGAATATATTTTTGCCTGTCGCTCAATTCCTTCTGCTAAAGGTAAGAAGACGGAACCATACAAAGAATTAGCTCTTGCATGAGATTATGGAATAATTTCCATTTTCAGGATTCTACGAGGTGTCAAGGACACTTTTAACACCAGAGGGAGGAACTGTCCTTGATCTATCAGCCTCGGCTCTTCTAACCTCTGGGGCAGTGGGGGGTTTTCTTTATTGGTTCCTCACGTATCCCACTGATGTCATAAAATCTTCACTGCAAGCTGATGAAAGTGATCGTTCAAAGCGTAGATTTAAAGGAGTAGTCCATTGTGCAAAGACATTATACACCACTGAGGGTGGCGTAGGACGTTTTTTCCGAGGATTTCTTCCATGTTTAATGAGGTCACTACCGGCAAATGCTGCAATGTTTTTTGTTGTAGAGAAGACGAGACAATTTCTTGCTAAAAAATTATGATCAATGTGCAATGAATAGTAGGACAATCCAGTAATGGTCATACCATACTTAATTTTTACTATTGATACTTACAAAGATATTTACCTCACGGTATCCAGTGGTACTTGCTGTTTTATATTAAGATAGTTTGCTTTATTTAACCCAAATCTTATTTTAAGACAATCATCAATTACTCTTTACTTTATACTATTACACTTACTATTCAACCTGGGATGCGTCTTTTGTGCTACACTAGTTTTTTTGATAGGTTGCCTAATGTCCTTTCTTTAAAAACAATAGAAATAGAAAAAAAAGAATATGCTCTCCTTAATGTATATATTCTTTGAAATAAAATACACTACATTCTGCTTTCTTCTTCATTCTGTTGTGGGTTTTAACATGCGTTAACATCCAATGAAAAGGCATGTCACGTCGTCGGCGAAGTCAAACTGCAAAAGCTCCAAAATAGCACATTGATTTGTCTATTTCAATGGTTTTACTCATATCTGTACTGTATTTTGATTCAACCCCAAGTCGTATGGTCGAACCTTTTCTCAAAAACATTACGCCACCTACATAGTTAGTGTTGACATTTTGAGGTTCGTTGTAATGCCTCGGGTGTCCCGGGGACGAACGAGAACACATGACTTTTCGTTCACCACACGAGGCTCGTAAACACCCACAAGGTCGGTACGAATCAGCAACGTATAGACAATGACCCATCTCATGATCTCTCCCATTGAAAAATATCTGACCGTATAGGAAGTAACTCCCAGTGTATTTTATTACGATAAGCGCCTCGTTGAAGCACTTTAATCCGTCACGGGGGCGCGAGTCGATGATGAATTTCATGTTAACGCGTGATTGTGCCTCCCAGTCGCTGTTTATGTTGCCTGAAAATAGACCATAAGATAAATTGCATATCTACCCATCCTTTCTATTATCGCCTCTCATTCTTTTGACATTAATACAGGGTGACACAAAAAGTGCTACCAACATAATTATGGATAACTTTTTTGCATGCATGATCTAAATTATTCTTTAGCACATTGAAATAAGGCTCCATGGAGTAACTCCAGAAGAAGTTTCAGATGACTATCCTAACTAGATGCACTTTTATGAGCGTTACAAGATGTGCTCTAAATGTCGTCCATTCCTTTGCAGGCCACACTGGATTCTACACAAAAATACTACCTACCTTTTGTAACATAACTTAAAACTAACGGGTTCTGCTTGCTCGTACTTTCAAGAAAAGGAAGTCCATTTAATTAATCACAAAATGAAATAGTTGTCATTGATATAATCATCATGACTTTATTATGAAATTAGTAAATTATGTTACTAAAGATGGGTGTCATTTTTGTGTAAAATTCAGGGGTGCCTGCAAAGGAATAGACAACCCGCCCATCTTATAACTCTCAAAATGTGCGCATAGTTGAGCTAGTCATCTGACACTTCTTGTGGAATCACTTTAGAGTCTTTTATGTGCCAAAAACAAGTCAGAATTTTTGCAGACAAAAAAGTTATGCAACATTGGCACACGATACTATGCAAGCAAATGCAAAAATACTGATGCAAACTTAAATAAAGAACCCAGACCTCTCTGAAGATTATGACTATTAAGATGATACAGATACTAATTTACCTTGTTGATCAAATGAACCAATAATAGGATGGAGATTATTTCCCGTTTTCGGTACCATGTGGATAGACGCTACCTAAAATAAGATTGTAAAATAAGTATGGCACGTATGATTTTATATGATATAACTATTTCTGTATCGTATTTAACAAGCTAGACATACTGCTCTCGATATACAGGGTGGGCAAATAAAAATGGGACACTCACATATACCCTAGTTGAAAGAGTCTACATAACTAAATGCCATGAAAACATATAAAAAAGGTTCCAAGATTTGTCGATATAGAGTGTACCAATAAGATTAAGGATCTATGTTTTCATCATTTTTTGGGTTGGCACAAGGCATATATTATAATTTTAATTAACTTTCTTTATTTTTCAATATTTTGACATTATTTTTCTCAGAACTCATGATTATATAATTGCTATTAGTAGCATCGGCAGGGAAGGAGGGGGGGGGGGGTAGCTGATTTTCGCTAGAATTAACAAATCTGAAAGATTTATTATTTCAAGAGATAGTTTACAATTGAATTACTAATTGAATAGGCGCACGAGACGGGGAAATATGTTAGGTCTTCCAGGATATTTTTTGAACTTATCCTCCTCCGTTCATTTCTTCCGGTTTCTGCACCATTTACTTAAGAAATCATAAGACTTTTCGAATAAATGCATTTTTCATAGAAATTCTGGTGTTTTGTGTTACAATGGAATAAGAGGATGATGATTAGCTGTTGACACATCAGTATTTGAGAATAAACTATGCATTATGTGTTGCTTATAAGTCTAATGTAAATTGTGGACTTTTTGCAGATTTTGAGCCATCATTGATAAAGGTAGACACATTGCAAATTTTATTTTTACAGATTTCTTCATTGTTTGAATGAGTAAAATCTGTTTTATTTAATCAGTGAATTAACGCAAAGCGTGTCCCATTTTTATTGCTCACGCTGTATATATTTGTCCCTTGTTTCTTTCTCAAGTTCTCAAATGCTTCCTAGTCAAATCGCACCAAAGACAACTCGTACCCAAGACAACTTGTACCCAAGACAACTCGTACCCAAGTTTATTTTCAGCACTTTGGGTGCGTATTGAAAACATCTGTATAACGTCTGCTTAATAAATGTTATAATGTGAATCAAATAAGCCTCAATAATTTTTCTGAATTTAGAAAACATTTTTTCTCAATGGATTAAGCAAAGTATTTTGTTTTAACTTGGATCACCTTTCACCTTGGATCACTCACTTGTCCGTCTGTCCGTCTGTCAACAATTGGCCAGTTTTGTCAATAGGATTCCCGTTTAAATTATTTTTGTTCAACATCAATATTGAAAACCGCCCTATGACTCCTGGTCCAAAATGGCCGCCATTTTTGTCTCGCGAAATTCACTTTTGGACCATTTGCTTTAAAACCTGTGTCGATAGGATTCCCGTTGTGAGTTATTTTTGTTCAACATTAATATAGAAAACTTCCATTTGACTCCTGGTTCAAAAGCTCACCTATTTTCAAAATGACCGCCATTTTTGTCTCGCGAAATTCACTTTTGGCCCATTTCCTAGCTTTACAAATAATTTCCGGTGTCCTGCATTGTAAAAAGCCATGTCACTGTAAAGAGTAGTTGTATGCAATAATTTCGTTACAAAAAATCGGCAAAAATCTGTATCCGTTTTTTTTTATTTTCAGCCATTTTAGTTAACATTGATTAGTCCATCTATCTCGCGAAATCCACTTTTGGACCATTTGCCTTAAAACCTATGTCGATAGGATTCCCGTTTTGAGTTATATTTGTCCATCATCAATATAGAAAACTGCCCTGTGACTCCTGGTTCAAAAGCCCGCCTATTTTCAAAGTGGTACAAAATTATACACTGTAACATGTATTATATTAAATTATATCATATTATTTAAAATTAAATTACATGTATGTCATATCATATCAATGTAAGAAGGTTTTATTTAGAGAAAAACAGAATATCCGTATTCATTTGAATACTAGTATTAGTTTTATTATATCCGAAAAACATTTTTGAAATTCATGGGAACCTTTGAATAAATTGGAAATATATACTTTTTTAGCTTTTGGGCCCTTTCGCCTCGATTTTCTGGCACGTTTGTCGGATGCACGTATGGCTCTCAAAATGCCATTGTTCGTAGATTCAGATGTTAACGCCAATGGACTTGTTTGTTCCCCGATGTTTTGAAGTTCTCCTTTCTGAAGTTTAGCCACATCATACAAGTTTGCTTCTTTTTCCAAACGGTTGGTTATTGTAAATAATTGGACCAAATCAAGTATTGCAACAACAAATATCATCCGAATGAACATTATATATATAGTGTTTGTTTCTTGCTTCTTTGCATGCGAAGAAGCAATAATCCAAAGTATATACCTATATATAGTGTAGTCAAAAAGTGACTTCTTAGAAAATAAAACCTACATGACATATCATAACTGGGGTATGAGTAACGAGTTTAATTTATTTACCTATACTTATACCTATCGAGTCGAGTAAATAAAACGAAATTTTGATTAATTTCGTAGAACTTCTCAGGGAGGTCAGAGTACAAAGGTCCCATCAAATTAACCAAAATCTCCCCGTGTCCACAAAGGTTTTGGTTACTTTGGCAACCATTTCTAAATAAACATAGATACTAAATAGACTTACTACTGTACGCTTTACTGTTATCGTAAAAAGATATTATTAGAGAGATGTTACCAGAACTTTATGATCACCCCTTGTATAAGAATAAAGATCGAGTAGATAAATTCACATAAGGAAATACGATTGTTATACTCAGAAAATATACTCATATGACTAAAACGCATTAAATTACCAATAAGTGCTACTCCATATATCCATCGACCTCTGTCACATAAAACATATTCTAAGAAATAAATGTTATATCACGTTTACCTATTTCTATGTTCATTCACACTTAGTAACTGAAAGGTGGCTTTTAATAATTAAATGAACGAATATCTTTAATTTGGAAAATGTTAACATGTATGTATTGGTTGACCACCATGACGTTTATTTCCATGGCGACCAACAGACACAACCAATTGCAATCTAGATTCATCACAGGAGTTGCAGCTACATTCAATTATATGGTACGTGAAATTAATTATTTCAAGTCACAATAAAGGTCACGGTAACAGTCAATTGAAATCGCAGTAACGGCCAATTTTCATTTTTTCTACTTAATCATGTTGTATCCTTTTCCCATATAACATTAGGAGTTGGATCTGATATTAGAGCGTGTAAGCTTGAAATGTTTTTCACAACCTAAACGCGAACGGAAAATATTTAAACGATACATTTTTATGGGCGATTGGTCATACGTATAGGTTGGCGTTTCGACTTCATATGCAAGCTTAAACTCCCTATTATTACGCAAGCATATACGTACTTAACCGTCTATATTGTCATTAATTCTAATTCCCGTCATTCATTACATTGTTATATCATTGGGAGTGGATGATACCTTTCTAGGAGCACTATTCCCATTCACACAAACAAAGCGATGAGGTATGAGATTTATGTGATAAAACTAAATAACGATTTTACCTTTTCATTATCAAAATCTAAAATTCTCTCAGTCAAATCTTGAATCGAAATGCTTCTTCTGGAAAACGTCAATTAGTTCAACATTTTCGATTTTTCTATTACATTTGGGAGACCAAGTAGTTAGAACTTCCGTAGGTCCCCAAAAATATTAACCAGCAAATGATCCAGATAATAATAATAGTTTATACGTAAACTATCACACTTTAATATCATTTATAGAGTTTAGTGCAATGTAGACAATGTGAACAACTCAGCCATTACATGAAGAGGTTCCAAGACGGCACAACAAAGTGTGTACCATGTACAAAATGCCCAAGAGGACAATGTATTGCAAGTCATTGCGTTGGATTCAAAGACAATGTGTGTAGGCAACCTGATCAAAATGAATATATACATGGACACGATTGTACGCTCTGCAGTGAATGTGGTACCAAGCGAACGACAGTGCGTAACTGTTCTAAGCATTTTGACACGCAATGTGGCGATTGCGTTCCTGGTAATTATTTCCGTTGAATGAACGTTTGGCCAAAAGCTATTTGATTTTTCATGAAAATTCCTTTTCGATTTTTGGGACTTTTTATTTAAGACCAATGTTTAATTAGGTCTCTATTCCAACTAACAAACGTTTGGGTTGAAGCTGTATTTGAAAAGTACATTTTCATGAAAATTCATTTTTGAAAGTTTTGAGACTAATTTTTTTCTCAATTTCGGACAAATGTTTGATATAACAAATGGATTCTTTTCATTAAGGTTTCAAATGGGACTCTCTTCTTTTTGATTGCGTCGATGCGCCAT